TTCTCACCTAGCTGTGCTTATGAGGATTGAGCTCTGGCTCTTTGGTCCCGCCTCTCAACTGTCAACCAAGAAGTGAGTGTAGTTGAGTGTGTGAGAGTGACTATGGGAGAGAGAGAGAAAGAGAGAGAGAGAGAGAGAGAGAGAGAGAGAGAGAGAGAAGAGAGAGAGAGAGAGAGAGAGAGAGAGAGAGAGAGAGAGATAGCGAATGAGAGCGAGAGTGAGAGAGGAAGTGAGTGTATGGGGGTGGGGGGAGGGAGAGAGAGAGGATAAGAGCGAGAATGAGGAGGAAAATGAGAGTTGCCGGGAATGGAATCACTTGCGAGAGAGGCGGTGAGAAAAGTGAGACCTCAGCACCGTGTATAAACCCACACGAGCATTACCATCACCGCCAAATGTTGGGGGAGGGCCAGGGAGAGTGAGGGAGAGTCCTGGGGTGCCAGGGAGAGTGAGGGAGAGTCCTGGGGTGCCTGGGAGAGTGAGGGAGAGTCCTGGGGTGCCTGGGAGAGTGAGGGAGAGTCCTGGGGTGCCTGGGAGAGAGAGGGAGAGCCTTGGGGTGCCTGGGAGAGGGAGGGAGAGCCTTGGGGTGCCTGGGAGAGGGAGGGGAGGGCCTGGGGAGAGTGAGAGGAGAGTCCTGGGGTGCCTGGGAGAGGGGGGGAGGCCCTGGTAGAGTGAGGGGAGGGCCTGGGAGAGTGAGAGAGAGCCTTGGTGTGCCTGGGAGAGTGAGGGAGAGTCCTGGGGTGCCTGGGAGAGGGAGGGGAGGCCCTGGGAGAGTGAGGGGGAGCCTGGTGTGCCAAGGAGAGGAATGGGAGGGCCTGGGAGAGTGAGGGAGAGCCTTGGGGTGCCTGGGAGAGGGAGGGAGAGCCTGGGAGAGGGAGCGAGTGAGAGAGGGAGAGTAAGAAGGGTGGACAGGGAAGGAAAAGAAGTCGAAAAGGCAATTCCGGAAAAGCGAAAGAAGGGGGGAGCGGGAAGGGAACTACCAGGGGGGGGAAACGCTAAGCCATTACACTACATAGCACATGGAAGGGATCATAATAAGGATTCGGGATGGGACGGCGGAAAGGAATGGTACCCAACCACTTGGATGGTCGGGGATTGAACACCGACCTGCATGAAGCAAGGATAAGGGAAGAATATATATATTTTTTCCAACCTTAGACGTGGGCCCAAACATTTACATTTGGCCATTATATACATTTTATTTTGTAATCCCTAGACGGGGTTAAAGATCTGTTGGATAATACGTAGTTTAGGGTCCAATTGGGCAATTAACCACAGGTGATTGTTGTGCTTGTACAATGCTAACCAAAATACATAATTCATACAGTTATGTATGTATTACAATGAGAGAGAGAGAGAGAGAGAGAGAGAGAGAGAGAGAGAGAGAGAGAGAGAGAGAGAGAGAGAGAGAGAGAGAGGGGAGAGAGAGAGAGAGAGAGAGAGAGAGAGAGAGAGAGAGAGAGAGAGAGAGAGAGAGAGAGAGAGAGAGAGAGAGAGACAGAGAGACAGAGACAGAGAGCAATCCAGAATCTAAAAAAAATACTCAATACAGGAGTATTTTTGTATTCCATACACAAAATAATTCGTGTTTAAGCACCGAAGAGAAATTATTGAGACCAAATAATTCTCAATAACTTATTCATACGGAGCTCTTATGAAAGATATCACAAATATGATATATAGCCAAACCATTTATTTAATTAATTACGATGTATAATGTAAATGTATTTTCATTTCAACCGACCACAATGAAATATGTATAAGAGGTTAGAAACACTTTCTTAGAATTTTATATCACTATAGCATGTAAGATAATCCAATGGATTGAGCATATATGTGTGGGTGTGTGTGAGAGAGAGCAAAGGATATCTCTATTCCTTTCTATTTTGACCCCTTCATTCTCTCTCTCTCTCTCTCTCTCTCTCTCTCTCTCTCTCTCTCTCTCTCTCCCATTAGTCCCAAGACCCAGGTAGATGAAGAAAATAGAGACACCAACAGTCAATATTGACAATGGCGGAAAAAATCCATATATAGACACTTTTTGTCAAGGAGCAGCTCATCAAGACGCCATATTGGAGCGCCCCTATTCTTATCATTAAAAAAAAATAACAAATAATATCCAACATAAAAAAAAAATCTATATTTTTAAGCAAATATTTCACTCAAAATGATAATTGGTAGATTTTTTTAGTGGATTTTTGACTTTGTAGGTAATTGGAAATTTTTGGTTTATGGCAGAGACGTTGTATTCGACTTATGATCACTGATAATGATCAGTGAATTTTAATCACCGGTCATCTGACCCTGCGACTTAATCAGGTGACATTAATCACTGACCTTTGATCAACGACCCTGAACTTTGATTTTATAACATCTGATCAATGATTCTTGATCACTTACTCTGACCTTTGTCCAATGACCTCGAGCAATAACCTTGGAAAGCAGACCTTTATATCAGGCATTTTACCTCTGACCACTCTGACCTTCAACGTTGACCAATCTGACCTTCAACGTTGACCACTCTGACCTTCAACTTTGACCACTATGACCTTCAACTTTGACCACTCTGACCTTCAACTTTGACCGCTATGACCTTCAACTTTGACCACTATGACCTTCAACTTTGACCAATCTGACCTTCAACGTTGACCACTCTGACCTTCAACTTTGACCACTCTGACCTTCAACTTTGACCACTCTGACCTTCAACTTTGACCACTCTGACCTTCAACGTTGACCACTCTGACCTTCAACGTTGACCACTCTGACCTTCAACGTTGACCACTCTGACCTTCAACGTTGACCACTCTGACCTTCAACGTTGACCACTCTGACCTTCAACGTTGACCACTCTGACCTTCAACGTTGACCACTCTGACCTTCAACTTTGACCACTCTGACCTTCAACGTTGACCACTCTGACCTTCAACGTTGACCACTCTGACCTTCAACGTTGACCACTCTGACCTTCAACGTTGACCACTCTGACCTTCAACGTTGACCACTCTGACCTTCAACGTTGACCACTCTGACCTTCAACGTTGACCACTCTGACCTTCAACTTTGACCACTCTGACCTTCAACTTTGACCACTCTGACCTTCAACTTTGACCACTCTGACCTTCAACTTTGACCACTCTGACCTTCAACTTTGACCACTCTGACCTTCAACGTTGACCACTATGACCTTCAACTTTGACCACTCTGACCTTCAACTTTGACCACTCTGACCCTCAACTTTGACCACTCTGACCTTCAACTTTGACACCTAATCTTAGAATTTTGCAAATCAATCTTATGGCTAACAAGAACAAATATGGAAAGTTAGATAAATGGATTGTGAGTGATTGTGAATGTGAGTGAGAATTTATGCTACTGAGTATGTGTTTATATATATATATATAATATATATATATATATATATATATATATATATATATATATATATATATATATTTATAATATAATATGATATATAACCAAATGATCTCGCCAGAAAGCAAACACCGTTCGTGGCTTTATGTGAAAACACATTAAAAAAACGCTTAATACACATTCATCTCAAAACTACAAAAATTAAAAAACTAGAAAAACGCCACATTAAAAAACAAAAAAACACAATGCGTTCATCTAAAAAAACACACACCATACACCATACAAAACCCATCAGGTTGGTATTCATCAGAGATATGAGCGCGGAAAGCAGCCGCCATACTAAGGTGAAAAAAGTTTTAGAGCGCCGTGAGCACCAGCGGCTGACATTTCCTGGTGCTCAAAGATGACGAACACAGGAAAACAAAACCCTTAGTGAGGTCCTGAGTCTTCCTTGGAGGAGGGTGGGTGAATAGGGGGGTGAGAAGGGGTGGATAGGGAGTGAGAGGGATTGAAGAATAGGTGAGAAGGAAGACATTGACGGAAGGGGTGGATGGAGGGAGTGGGGAGTGGGGGGAAGGTAGGGTATGGGAAGGGAAGGAGGGTTTTAAAGAAGGGGGTGAGGAGAGAGAGAGAGAGGAAGGGAAGGATAAGTACATATAAGAAGTCAGATTTACTTGTAATTTACCTGTGGAAGGTTTCAAGAGTTATTCTACTCCCGGAGCCATTTCTTTGGGCATACTTTCCATGTGATATCTTGATCCTTCAAGCTGTTGTTTGCCACGGCCCGCAGAGAGAGAGAGAGAGAGAGAGAGAGAGAGAGAGAGAGAGAGAGAGAGAGAGAGAGAGAGAGAGAGAGAGAGAGAGAGAGAGAGAGAGAGAGAGAGAGGGAAAGTTGGACTAAAGTCACTGTTAAGAAGGCAAGCTGCCACTTTCCCCTATATTCCCATTTCTCTTCCCCCCTTCCCCTCTACTCTATCTCCCATCATACCCTCTCCATCTACCAAAGTTATCGTTGCTTTCTATGTTTTCTCCACTGTCTCATTGGTCTTGATATATCTCTTTTTCTCCTCCTCAGTAGCCAACTTTTCTCTGCTTTTCCTATTCCTACTGTATTGTCTCTGTTCCATGCTGTTTCTATTCCAAGTTATCTCTTATTCTCTTAATTCAATCCTCCTACTCTCGCATTTTTCCCATAACATTTTTCTTTTCAACTTCCAATTCCTTCGTTCGCTCCACTACTCTCTTCCATCTCTTTTTTTCCATATTTTATTTTTCCCATTCACATTTGTCATTATTTCATATCCCTTCTCTATCTCTCTCTCTTTCTCTCTACCCATCCCGTTCGTTGCTCCATCCTCTTACCCTCTGTAGCTAGCATCCTCTCACTCTCACTTCTCCCCTCTCTCTCTCTCTCTCTCACTCCCCAAACTCCTCACCCCTCACCACGCCTTGTCCCCTCACTTCTCTCAGAAACCAAGATTAATCTGCTCTAATCCCTGTCTCCACGTGAGGAGCAGGTGAGCACACGCACTCACACACACACCCTCACACTCCTCCCTCATACACTCACTCCCCAGCACCCACCACCACCCACCTAAGAATAAGAAAAGAAACTTAAATTATAAAGATTACACCTCTTGCAAAACCTGTACCAATCCTGTAAGAAACAGAACCACTAAGCTTATCAAACGCCAGATGTCATCACACAATTATCCCTTATCGATTAAATTATTAATTTATATAATAAAAAATATATATTGCGGTCCATATATTAACTGAACCATTAACTACCCAACCACCAGATATTAAGCTAATGGCATCTGCTTTTATTGGCTCTTCCGCGCTGTGGTATTGTGGTAGTAATTAAAATATATTGCTTTTGGCCATTATTGGTTTACCAAACAGGAGAATTAGGATGGTTTCCGTGATAGGAAATCCTGGTGATCTATATAGAGGCTTCACGGGCTGGTGATATAGAGGCTTCACGGGCTGGTGATATAGAGGCTTCACGGGCTGGTGATATAGAGGCTTCACGGGCTGGTGATATAGAGGCTTCACGGGCTGGTGATATAGAGGCTTCACGGGCTGGTGATATAGAGGCTTCACGGGCTGGTGATATAGAGGTTTCGCGAGGCTTCACGGGCCTCTAGTGACTGACAGGCTTCAGCGTATATTTTAATGTTTGATCAACTGTGAGTTGTGATGCGGGGGCAGTCAAATTACATTAATTAATTGTTTAATTATTTAATTATTGATTCTAAGTTCTGAAAACACACACATGGCAAGATTTTGACGTTAATTTTTAATAATAATTATTATTATTACGGTTTCTGTTGCTGCTGGTATTGTTGTCAATGTTGACAACAGAGCCAACAGGTTGACTCTCAGGTAAATTCAGGTAATGCCGCTGGAGTGGTTGCCATTGCAGATTAATGTTGCAATGTGATGTAGATCTTGTTAGTCGCTGCTGGTGCTGTTGGAGACACAACAGCACCTTTTATAGAGCTTTTTCTCCCTTTAGTTAAAAAAGAATTCTAAGCGTATCTCCTCTAAAACGACCCCCGCCTTCTTTTTTTTTACCGGATTTGCGCCACGAACGCGAAGCTTGTAAACAGAGTCTCGGGGCAGCGTTCGCGACCCAAGTCGGCGAACCACAATTAAGACGTAATGCCTATAAAAAAGTTTTAATGGGATGCCTTGTGATATACAACCTTGAAGCTTGAATGGGATCATTTTACAGCTTACGGTGGGAAATTTATGGATGCAAGGCAACACGCTCATGCTTATATATATGTACTCACATATGTATATATATATATCTACACATTTACACACATTGACACACATATATACGGTATTGAATAAGTGGAAAGAGGCGAATGGTTAATCGTTTCATTAATCAATTCCAAAAATAGATTTAATAGAGCACAAGTGTCTATCACCTAATTACTTCAGTATATTACACACACAAGCGCGCGCGCACACACACACACACATACACACACACACAGAGTTCGGGTGGTACGCGAACAAGGGGACACAGGTGGAAACTGAGTACCCAAATGAGCCACAGGGACGTCAGAAAGAACTTTTTTCAGTGTCAGAGTAGTTAACGGATGGAATGCATTAGGCAGTGATGTGGTGGAGGCTGACTCCATACACAGTTTCAACTGTAGATATGATAGAGCCCAGTAGGCTCTGGCTGTACACCAGTTGATTGACAGTTGAGAGGCGGAACCCTAAGAGCAAGCGATCAACCTCCGCAAGCACAACTAGGTGAGTACACAAACATATCCAATGTGTAATCTATATTCAAGAAAAGAGAGAAAACTGGAGCCCCTGAACTAGAGCCCAACATCACACGGAGTCCACGTAATACACTATATAGTATCACCAGGAATAAGTTAGCGAAGAACAAATCCACAAGGGCCGTGACGAGGTTTCGAACTTACGTCCGAGAGCATCCCAGACGCTGCCTTAATCGACTGCGCTACGACATGGTAAAAAGAATTGCAACCATAAGTTCTACTTCCCTTACTTGGCTCTCCGACGTAGGTTCGAACCCTCGTCACGGCCCTTGTGGATTTGTTCATTTAACGCATCACGCTATTGTGATTTCTGTGTGTAAGTTAGTGAGGACTCTAGACGCTAGAGGCCGGAAACATTGTCTCCACACAAAAACATGGCTTCAGGGCTGGCAAGTCCTGGATAGACTGCATCTTCTTGGGTCGTCAGAAGGTGTTCGATACAGTTCTACCCAAGAGACTGCCAAACAAATGCTAGGTTTACTCAGTAGAAACCGACAGGTTGCTAAGATTGGACTAAAGAGTACCTCTCTAGGGAGCCGGTCGGCCGAGCGGACAGCACGCTGGACTTGTGATCCTGTGGTCCTGGGTTCGATCTCAGGCGCCGGCGAGAAACAATGGGCAGAGTTTCTTTCACCCTATGCCCCTGTTACCTAGCAGTAAAATAGGTACCTGGGTGTTAGTCAGCTGTCTGTGTTAGGAAGCTGGCTGCTTCCTGGGGGTGGAGGCCTGGTCGAGGACCGGGCCGCGGGGGACACTAAAGCCCCGAAATCATCTCAAGATAACCTCAAGATAACCTCTAGTAGGAAACGGAGGAATAGGGTGAGAGGAGAGACCTCAGAGTGAAGGGAAGTCACAAGTGAAGTCAAACAAGGGGCAGTACTGATGTGTTGTTAATGGTACACATATTTGACCTCATTGAGGACGTTGAATCACACATATCAATACTTATGGTTCACATCAAATTAATAAAGAAAGTCATATCACGCGAGGATTGATAAAAGACGCAGGATGACTTGGATGAACTTCAGGAATGGCGTCTAGACCTCAGTCATGCTAAATGCAAGGTAATAAGAATCGGGGAGTAAGACTCGCCACTAACCTGAATGAATTGAAAGGTCGATGGCTCCTTCAAATTGCAAAAAGAGAAGAGCTTGGGTATTATGTAAACTCTAACTGAGCATCACTGGTCCACATAAACTGGATAACATCAGCAGCACATGTGATGCTGGCAAAAATAAGGATAACATTTAGGAACTTTGACAAGGAGGTCTTCGTAACACTGTACACTACGTAAATTAGACCAATTCTAAGGTATGCAGCCCCAGTGTGGGACCTCCACATTGAAGAAAAAAATAGACAAGGTCCGGATATGTCCGTAATAGAACTACGAGGATTGAACTCTGAGCTAAGGTTAAGTGAGCTGAATCTCGCCACACTTCAAGATATTATGAAACGAGGAGACATGATAGCGACATAAAAGTTTCTCAAAATAATCGATAAGGTTGATCAAGAGAGCGGCGTAGAACAGGACGACATGGATGGAAACTTGAGGTGTGGATGAGTTACAGGGACGTTAGAAAAACATTTTAGCGTAAGAGTACTGAAAAATGTAATGGGGTGGAGAGAGAAATATATTAAAATAAAAATCAATGAGTTATTTAAAAGGTGTAATTGATAGGGCTCAGAAGGGTTTGGCGCCACTGCATAAGACAACCGGCGGCTGATAAGACGGGACTCAGGAGCTAGAGCTCGACTTTGCAATTACATTTAAACAAGCCCATCTTGTCTGGAGCAAAACCAGTTCTTAGAAGTAAGATAAAATTGATATTTCTTCCAGGGAGAAAACTTAGTTGGTAGTGAATCAAAAAGGGAACGTTTCCTCTATCGTAAGTAAGTGTTTCTAGACTACCAGGATTCGTCAACCATTTACAAAACTTCTACATCTTCCATTAATCATTAATGGCATTGTTTACCTTTATTAAATAGTTTTGGGAGCTTCGAAAAATAGCATTCCAACGCTAAAGCTTTTAAGCACCTTAAAAATAACTGTATCCTAAATGTAAAGCCGCTATAATTTGTTGAAAGATGTACATGTTTCGCAACTGGCTGAGGAGTCGTGGCCCGGGCCTGCAGCTGGGAGGTGGCACCTTGGAGGAAGAGGCGGATGGTCAGACGGTCCGCACTCTCGTAGGAGGAACTGAAGCATTGTGATGGCGGCGATAAGAGGCGTCTCTGAGGGGACTCACCAACCCCCACATCCCCCCCTACACACACACACACACACACAAACACGACTATACACAAACCCTTTTGCCAGCTACATACACCCTACTCCCCCCCCCTCTCTTGCTCCTTTCTACCCCCTCCAAAAAAAAATTACACACGATTTCTCGCCCGTCATTAATCTCATCCAAGCTCGACACATCTCCTTCCTCCCCCCTCCCCCTCTCTCTCCCCCAATAGGGAACCCTGCACCCTTCCCCCCCCCAGCCCCCTACCACCCAGTAAGACTTCTCCTCCCACGCCAACACGCCCCTCCCCCCCCCTTCACCCCCTCCCCCCCCCCTTCACCAACCTCTCTCCCCAATCCTTCTAATACACAAATTCTCCCTCCATTAATACACACTCCAACATCACCCTATTAACCCACACTCCAACATCCACCCCCCCCCCCCCACAATACACACACATTCTCCACCCCCACCCCCCTCTCTCGTGTTCATCTATGTTCTCTTGTTCTGCTGTTTCATTGCTGTTCTCTCTTATTGAGCCCAAACCCTGATTGATCGATTGATGATGATTAAGCCACCCAAGAGGAGGGTACAAGCATGGGTATAGCCAATAAGTGGTGCCCCACATCTTGGGGCTGGACGGTAGAATGACGGTCTCGCTTCATGCAGGTCGGCGTTCAATCCCCGACCATCCATTAAGTGGTTGGACACCATTCCTTGCCTCCCCGTTCCATCCTAAGTCCTTATCCTAACCCCCCTTCCAAGTGCTATATAGTCGTGATAGCTTGGCGCTTTTCCCTAGACCCTCTCTCTAATTGACCAATTTCTTTTATAATCATGTATGTCATTATCATGTCTACCCTCTCTTATTGTTTTCAGTTTGGCATGATCTGTTCCCCCAAATTTTCCCCAGAGTCCCCTCTGTTCCCTCAGTCTCCCCTCGTAGCTAAGACCTCTTAGCTAAGAAACGATCCTTGATGCATATCTTAGGATCTCTTCTAGTTTGTTTTCTTTAAGTTGAGGTTTCATACCGTCGCTGCATATGCAACTGTGGGTCTAGCGTAGGTTGGATATAGCTTTCGAAGAGTCAAATTCTTAAAGGCTATCCGAACGTTAGCCATTTAAGACCTCCTTTGGTCTCCGAAAATGACAAACTTTAAACAAACATTTCTAGAACGTACAAAAATGGACTGTTGCACCCACCAAACCTCACCTTGTGAGCTATTAATTGTGCAGAGGACGAGAGTAAGAGGCAAGAGCCAAACTTCAACTCATCTAGGCCTATTGTAGCAAATATATGATTAAAATTAGTCCTAAGAATTAAGGCATATAGTTAGCCGAGAATCGTTTATATATTACGATTAGGATAAATGAGGTGAGGTGAGAGTAAGTTAGGATAGATGAGGCTAGACTAGGTAAGGCTAGTCTATATAACATATATATATATATATATATATATATATATATATATATATATATATATATATATATATATATATATATATATATATATATATATATATATATATATATATATATATATATATATATATATATATATATATATATATATATGACAATGTCAGACCACGGAGGAAAAATGAAACAGGAAATTTCCTTAAGTACTTTCGTATATTAAATACATATACGTATACACCTTCTGAAGATGTATTTAATATACGAAAGTACTTAAGGAAATTTCCTGTTTCATTTTTCCTCCGTGGTCTGACATTGTCACATTCTTAATCACGTGTTTATTTTCGTGATATACACACACACATATATATATATATATATATATATATATATATATATATATATATATATATATATATATATATATATATATGTGTGTATACTGGCAGCAGGTTTTCTTTCAAACATGTTTCATTGAATATGACCGCATATTCTGTATTTATTATTTTCTGGTTTAG